CTAATGTTAACGCTCGCGAGCTTATTCGTTATCTCGTCCGGGAATAGAGTTTCGTAACCCGTGATATCTGCGTGAGAAAAACTTACCCAGACTGTCCGGTTGAAAATGATGATAGCTCGTCGCGTGATGCGACGTGTGATGACTTAAGGACAAATTCCGTATAGATGTCGAAGTCTCCTGATGCTGCGGTCGCTGCCTCCCCACAGCAATGCCAATTGGTATTTGATTGGCTCCAGCATTAGAGACGGCTATCCCTGAAACGATTAAGGAAATCGCGCGTGAATCGCAACAGGAGAAACTGGCGATGCCGCAGTCGTCTCGATCGTAAACTCGATGGAACTTGCGGAACTTGAGATTACATTACGTTGAGGTACGGACGGAGGCGGTTCTCGAGAGAGAGAGACCATTAATGAATAATCAATCTGTCGTCGAACTTGTACTCGAAATTCTAGGTTTTTGTTCGAGAGATAAGGGATTCGATTAAGAAACCCGATATCTCGACGAGAGTTCGTTGCCGTGAGTGCATAAAAATATATTTCGATTACTGCGATTTAACAAGCGCTCGCGCTTTTGTCTAAGTCGCTAGTAATTAAAGTGAAAACTGTTTTCGATTAGATCTTTGATTAGATAGGAAAACGCGTTGTCCGACACGGGAAGTTTCTATGGATTTTACGGGTGTGAAACGTATTTGCCCAAATCAGCTCCCTAGATCTCGTCCATTTTCCCTCGGTGATATATCGATCTCTCGTTCTGTCGAAGATTCTTCTCGATGTACTGCAATTTTACCGGGACGTCGTGATTTACGCGAGTCTCGTCAACGAGGCCTATTCATTTAAATCATCTCGCCTTCATTTATCCATTCGCGCCTCCTCGCCGATATTATCCTCGGCCCGACGTCTTTTCATCGGAAACGCGACTCACTCGGAAGTGCATTCATTTAAATCACCATCTCGATCTTCCCGTTCCCCGCGCCCTCTCCTCCCCCCCCTCCCCCTCTCCCCCTCCCACCCCCTCCCCCTCGCGCTTGGTCCTCCTTCCTTTCTCGCCTCCTCCGCCGTTCGTCTCTTTTCTCCGCACCTTCGGCGACACGCGTTATGCTCGCATGACGTAACACGTGTGGGCATCACGCACCGGCACCGCACGAGGACCGTGCGGTGTGTACCAGGGAGAGTGCGGATGTGTCAGGACCGACTGGAGAGAGGGTCGAGACTCTTTCGAACCACGCCTTGTGTTTGCGTCGCCATGCGTGCCACGCACCTCCTACTTTAACGAGACTGTCTGCCCGCCGCTCTCTTTCTTTCCCTCTCTCTCCCTCCCCTCCCCTCACTCTCTTTCTCATCGTCTCTCTCTCTTCTCTCTCTCTCTCTCTCTCTCTCTCTCTCTCTCTCTCTCTCTCTCTCTCATTCTCTCCGCTCCTACCTCACTGCATACCTATATATACAGACACACGGTTCTCTCCCCCTCCTTCTGCTCCTCCTCTCATCCTCCTCATTCTCCTCGTCCTCCTTGTCCTCCCCGTCCTTCTCCCATCAGCTCTTAAAGCCGTATGCGTCCTTCGGTACGCGCGAGAAATATAACGCGATTTTTCCTCCAAGTACATCGCAACGAGTGAATGATTTTGAAGGAAGTAATTCTTATTTTTATTTATTTCTGTTTCCTCCGTTACATTAATTTGTATTTAAAGTTTTCACGAATATAATTGCTGGGAGATTAAATCGTTTCTCCTGGACTGGATCTCTTCGATATCGTGTGTGACGAATGTGTAGCATGTTCGAACTACGCAATGATCAAATCTATTTTAAAGTGGAATCAGACGCCTTATTATGATATTTAGGCTAGATCTTTGAACCTATCTGTTCGACAGATTGCCGCCACGCGATAGAAATCTTTTCGCGATAATAGTCCACGTCGAAGGAGAAACTGACCAACTTTACTTCAGAGGCCAATGCTACCTTTTGAAACGCAAAAATATTCGATACGATTACGATGCAAAGGTAAATTGTATTATTCTTCTTTTTTATTCCAGTCTAAGCAGATTCCAGACTTAACCGATCCAATTTGGGATAGATGGGACTTGTTATTGAGATCGAACTTGAAAGCTCGGCTTTCTGAAATTCATAAAATTGTAGGGATGTAATTTAATCAAGGACGTTGACTCCGAGGATCTTGTTGTTATAATATCAAGTGCACATCTACAAAGTATGCGAAAAATCGTTTAATGAGGAATAATAAT